TTAGTAAAGATATGATCAATACATGTTTATGATTTCGTTCCTGTACTGTTTGTAACTACCCTGGTAGGTTGACTGATAACCTGAACCAGGTTGCAGGCACTGGTTATAGTTTGAAGCTTTCTCTTGAGTGGGCAGCCCGATGAAAGCCAGTCAATATTTAAATCACCCAGAAAGTATACCTCTCTATTGATATCACATATATTATCAAGCCTTTCACATGTTATCCAGATACTGACTGTTAGCACTTGGTGTCTATAGCAGCTTCCCACCAGAATGGGCTTTAGGTGAGGCAGGTGAACCTGTAGCCATAAAACTTCAACAGTATTTAACATGAGATCCTCTCTTATGGGGTTAACACCAGTGTTGTATCTGAATGTTGATTCTAGTGGGGTTAACACCAGTGTTGTATCTGAATGTTGATTCTAGTGGGGTTAACACCAGTGAGATATCTGTTGATTCTAGTGGGGTTAACACCAGTGTTATATCTGTTGATTCTAGTGTGGTTAACACCAGTGTTATATCTGTTGATTCTAGTGGGGTTAACACCAGTGTTATATCTGGGTGTTGATTCTAGTGGGGTTAACACCAGTGTTATATCTGGGTGTTGATTCTAGTGGGGTTAACACCAGTGGGATTGAAATTGACGCCACCTGCAGTGAATAAATGAAGCGGTATTTGAAACACAGTGGAATCAACACCTTGTGGTGTTGTTGTTACTCCACTGTGTTGAGTTAATTTCCGTTAACTCTCTCAGAATGAACCCCAGAAAGAGTAACTGTTGCCTTGGCAACAGCTAATGGGGATCCCTAATAAATACAAAAACAAAAAGATGTGGGAGGGCCTCATTATCATATTTCCCAGCAGGTAGATTTTTAGAGTAGTTTTGGCAGCATTTAGACAGGCAGCCCAATTCTGATATTTTTTTCAATAATTTGTCTTTTTTAAAAACTAATCAGATCAGCACTGACAATTATCTGATGTGAAAAGATCTAATGTGATTGGCCCAAAGACCAATTAGTGGAAAAAAAGATCAGAATTGGGATGGCTGTGTAAACGGCGCCTAAGTTTTAATATCTACGTTTCTGCATGCACATTGGTTGATTAATTAATTTAAAGATAAATAACACGCAGTTTTCTAAACTAATCCAATCTGTAAGTGGTTGGACTAATTGTACCCATTACTGAGATGGCTATTCCAATTTAGATAGTTTAGGTAGTCTGGTTTGGCAATTTGTTCACCATAGCAGTCATTCTGAATGCAGATTGTGGATGATAAAACACTTTAACTCTACTCTCTCTATGTCTGGATTCCTAAAGGAATTACTAATCACTTCACACGCCAGCATATTGTGATTTGCATGTCCGACCTGGCCCATGTGCCAGGAGTTTCAGACCACAATGTTGGGGGGAAACTAGGCCATAACTAAAGGCCTTATGACATGTCCAATAAAGGGTTTACTTTCAATGACAGTACAGTCTCCTCTCTCCTCTCTCTCTGACAGTGCAGTCTCCTCTCTCCTCTCTCTGACAGTACAGTCTCCTCTCTCCTCTCTCTCTGACAGTACAGTCTCCTCTCTCTGACAGTACAATCTCCTCTCTCCTCTCTCTCTGACAGTGCAGTCTCCCCTCTCTCCTCTCTCTCTGACAGTGCAGTCTCCCCTCTCTCCTCTCTCTCTCTGACAGTGCAGTCTCCCCTCTCTCCTCTCTCTCTCTGACAGTACAGTCTCCCCTCTCTCCTCTCTCTCTGACAGTACAGTCTCCCCTCTCTCTCTCTCTCTCTCTGACAGTGCAGTCTCCCCTCTCTCCTCTCTCTCTCTGACAGTGCAGTCTCCCCTCTCTCCTCTCTCTCTCTGACAGTACAGTCTCCTCTCTCCTCTCTCTGACAGTACAGTCTCCTCTCTCCTCTCTCTGACAGTACAGTCTCCTCTCTCCTCTCTCTGACAGTACAGTCTCCTCTCTCTGACAGTACAGTCTCCTCTCTCTGACAGTACAGTCTCCTCTCTCCTCTCTCTGACAGTACAGTCTCCTCTCTCCTCTCTCTCTCTGACAGTACAGTCTCCCCTCTCTCTCTCTCTCTCTCTCTGACAGTGCAGTCTCCCCTCTCTCCTCTCTCTCTCTGACAGTACAGTCTCCTCTCTCTGACAGTACAGTCTCCTCTCTCTGACAGTACAGTCTCCTCTCTCTGACAGTACAGTCTCCTCTCTCCTCTCTCTGACAGTACATCTCCTCTCTCCTCTCTCTGACAGTACATCTCCTCTCTCTGACAGTACAGTCTCCTCTCTCCTCTCTCTGACAGTACAGTCTCCTCTCTCTGACAGTACAGTCTCCTCTCTCCTCTCTCTGACAGTACAGTCCTCCCTGAAACCTCCTCTCTCTCTCTCTCTGACAGTACAGTCTCTCTCTCGCGTACTCTCCTTCTCTACATCTCTCCCTCTCTGACAGTACAGTCTCCCTCCGACTACAGTCTCCTCTCTCTGACAGTACAGTCTCCTCTCCTGACAGTACGCTCCTCTCTGGACAGTCCTTCTCTGACAGTACAGTCTCCTCTCTCACTTCTCCTCTCTCTGACAGTACAGTTCCTCTCCTACATAAGTCTCCTCTCTCTGACAGTACACTCTCCTCTCCTCTGACAGTACAGTCCTCCTCTCTCTCTGACAGTACAGTCTCCTCTCCTCGACAGTACAGTCTCCCTCTCTCTGACAGTACAGTCTCCTCTCTCTCTCTCTCTCTGACAGTACAGTCCCTCTCTCCTCTCTCTGACAGTACAGTCTCCCTCGACTCAGCTCTCTCTTGACAGTACAGTCCCTCCCTCTCTCTGACAGTACGTCTCCTCTCTCTCTGACAGTACAGTCTCCTCTCTCTGACAGTACAGTCTCCTCTCTCTGACCCGTACAGTCTCCTCTCTCTGACAGTACACTCCTCCTCTCCTGAGCTACCTCTCTGACAGTAAGTCCCTCCTCCCTAATCTAGACCCTCCTCCCTCTGACAGTTACAATCTCCTCCCACAGAGTCTGCCCTCCTCACATAAGAGTCTGACCCTCCTCACTAGAAGTCTCTCCTCCTCACCTGACAGTACAGTCTCCTCCTCCACAGTAAGTCTTAGACCCTCCTCCTCCTACATCTAGAACCTCTCCTCCACTCTAGACAGCTAAGAACCCCCTCCTCCCCTGACAGTTAGACCCTTCTCTCACACTAAAGTCTAGCCCTCCTCGACAGTAAGTCTACCTCTCTCCTCACTAGAGTCTAGACCTCCTCCTCCTCTACAGTAAACCCTCCTCCACCAACAGTCTAGAACCCTCCCACAAGAGTCTAGACCCTCTCCTCTCACTAGAGAGTAGAATCCTCTTCCACAATAGAGAGTCTAGAACATTCCTTCTCCACCACACTAGAGTCTAGAACCCTCCTCCTCCACACTAGAGTCTAGAACCCTCCTCCACACTAGACAGTCTAGAACCCTCCTCCTCCACACTAGACAGTCTAGAACCCTCCTCCTCCACACTAGAGTCTAGAACCCTCCTCCTCCACACTAGACAGTCTAGAACCCTCCTCCTCCACACTAGACAGTCTAGAACCCTCCTCATCCACACTAGACAGTCTAGAACCCTTGTCCTCCACACTAGAGAGCCTAGAACCCCCTCCTCCACCACTCTAGAGAGTCTAGAACCCTTGTCCTCCACACTAGAGAGTCTAGGACCCTCCTCCACCACACTAGAGTCTAGAACCCTCCTCCTCCTCACTAGAGAATCTAGAACCCTCCTCCTCATCTCTATAGAACCCTCCTCCACCACACTAGATTCTAGAACCCTCCACCACACAAGATAGTCTAGGACCCTCCTCTACACTAGAGATGATAGAATCCTCTTCCACAATAGAGAGTCTAGAACATTCCTTCCCACCCACACTAGGAGTCCTAGAACATGTCTCCTCCTCCTCCACTAGAGTCTAGGACCCTCCTCCACCACAGAGTTCTAGAACCCTCCTCTCCACACTAGAAGTCTAGAACCCTCCTCCTCCACATAGAGCTCCCTCCACCACACTAGATCTAAACCCTCCTCCACACTAGAAGTCTAGAACCCTCCTCCACACTAGAAGTCTAGAACCCTCTCTCCACATAGAAGTCTAGAACACCTTCTCCTCCACACTAGAGTCTAGAACCCCTCCTCCACACTAGAGTCTAGAACCCCCTCCTCCACACTAGAAGTCTAGAACCCTCCTCCTCCACACTAGAGTCTAGAACCTCTCTCCACACTAGAGTCTAGAACCCTCCTCCTCCACACTAGAGTCTAGAACCCCCCTCCTCCACACTAGAGTCTAGAACCCTCCTCCACACTAGACAGTCTAGAACCCTCCTCCTCCACACTAGAGTCTAGAACCCCCCTCCTCCTCCACACTAGAGTCTAGAACCCTCCTCCACACTAGAACCCTCCTCCACACTAGACGTCTAGAACCCTCCTCCTCCACACTAGACAGTCTAGAACCCTCCTCATCCACACTAGACAGTCTAGAACCCTTCTCCTCCACACTAGAGTCTAGAACCCCCCTCCTCCACACTAGAGTCTAGAACCCTCCTCCACACTAGACAGTCTAGAACCCCCCTCCTCCACACTAGAGTCTAGAACCCCCCTCCTCCACACTAGAGTCTAGAACCCTCCTCCACACTAGACAGTCTAGAACCCTCCTCCTCCACACTAGACAGTCTAGAACCCTCCTCATCCACACTAGACAGTCTAGAACCCTTCTCCTCCACACTAGAGTCTAGAACCCCCCTCCTCCACACTAGAGTCTAGAACCCCCCTCCTCCACACTAGACAGTCTAGAACCCTTCTCCTCCACACTAGAGTCTAGAACCCCCCTCCTCCACACTAGAGAGCCTAGAACCTTCCTCATCCACACTAGACAGTCTAGAACCCTTCTCCTCCACACTAGACAGTCTAGAACCCTTCTCCTCCACACTAGAACCCTGCTCCTCTTCCTGAGTCCAGAATGTTGTGGGTTCAGATCCCAGCTGGTTCGTAGCTCTGCGCTCTGGGGCGATGAGAAGATCTAGTAACTGTAAGTATCTCCAGACATATGTGGTTTAAGTTGCTGCGTTCATGGTGTAAAACTACATTGTATGTTCTGGTCTCTCTAGAGACGAGAGGCAGCGTAACTCTCTAAGATGTATGCCTAGCTTGTCCACGGTTTTATTCTCACCTTGCTGTAAACTTAGTTTTTTTCAGGGATTGGCATACTCATTTGGATGATTCCAAATATGTTCTGGTCACTTATGTCCTAAACACACAGAGAATATTTTCCTTAACACAAGCCGTCCAATGTGTTGTGTATTTGGTTTTAGTCCGGTGTCACTTATTGGTCTAAAGACACAGAGGGGCTATAGAAAGTACACAGTCCCAGAGGTCTCCACTCTTTAGCCAGACAGTTAGTCCTCTACACAGTCCCAGAGGTCTCCACTCTTTAGCCAGACAGTTAGTCCTCTACACAGTCCCAGAGGTATCCACTCTTTAACCAGACAGTTAGTCCTCTACACAGTCCCAGAGGTCTCCACTCTTTAGCCAGACAGTTAGTCCTCTACACAGTCCCAGAGGTCTCCACTCTTTAGCCAGACAGTTAGTCCTCTACACAGTCCCAGAGGTCTCCACTCTTTAGCCAGACAGTTAGTCCTCTACACAGTCCCAGAGGTCTCCACTCTTTAGCCAGACAGTTAGTCCTCTACACAGTCCCAGAGGTCTCCACTCTTTAGCCAGACAGTTAGTCCTCTACACAGTCCCAGAGGTCTCCACTCTTTAGCCAGACAGTTAGTCCTCTACACAGTCCCAGAGGTCTCCACTCTTTAGCCAGACAGTTAGTCCTCTACACAGTCCCAGAGGTCTCCACTCTTTAGCCAGACAGTTAGTCCTCTACACAGTCCCAGAGGTCTCCACTCTTTAGCCAGACAGACCAGAGATAAAATACAAAGGGTTGGAGGGCAGCAGTTTGTAGTAGTTAGCAGGATGTAGAGAAAAGATAGTGGTTTCCTGTTGAATTCCTGATGCACGGCTAGACAATCTCTCGCTCTCTCTCTCTCTCTGTCTCTCTCTCTGTCTCTCTCTCTCTCTCTCTCTCTCTGTCTCTGTCTCTGTCTCTGTCTCTGTCTCTGTCTCTCTCCCTGTCTCTCTCTGTCTCTCTCTCCACCTCTCAGTAAACCGTCAGAATGATAGTTTCTGTGTCAGTACCAAGGATGTGCTGTTGACTCCACAAACCAAGATGGAGGAGATTTAGGGTGTCTGACAGCGTCCAAAACCAGCGGTCGAAAAGTCACTGTCATCATAAGTGCAAATGTCTATTTCTATAGACTATACATCTTGTATAAAGTATAGCATACCACAACATCTCTTCTCCATCTCTCTGTATCCATCCTGTATACACTATATGCCACAGCATGTACACTATCTCTGTGGTGGGTGGGTTAGGACTAGGAGAGAGAGAGAGAAAACAACCCTGGGTGGGTTAGGACTAGGAGAGAGGGAGAGAAAACAACCCTGGGTGGGTTAGGACTAGGAGAGAGAGAGAGAAAACAACCCTGGGTGGGTTAGGACTAGGAGAGAGGGAGAGAAAACAACCCTGGGTGGGTTAGGACTAGGAGAGAGCGAGAAAACAACCCTGGGTGGGTTAGGACTAGGAGAGAGGGAGAGAGAGAAAACAACCCTGGGTGGGTTAGGACTAGGAGAGAGGGAGAGAAAACAACCCTGGGTGGGTTAGGACTAGGAGAGAGGGAGAGAAAACAACCCTGGGTGGGTTAGGACTAGGAGAGAGCGAGAAAACAACCCTGGGTGGGTTAGGACTAGGAGAGAGGGAGAGAAAACAACCCTGGGTGGGTTAGGGCTAGGAGAGAGGGAGAGAAAACAACCCTGGGTGGGTTAGGACTAGGAGAGAGGGAGAGAGAGAAAACAACCCTGGGTGGGTTAGGACTAGGAGAGAGGGAGAGAAAACAACCCTGGGTGGGTTAGGACTAGGAGAGAGGGAGAGAAAACAACCCTGGGTGGGTTAGGACTAGGAGAGAGAGAGGGAGAGAAAACAACCCTGGGTGGGTTAGGACTAGGAGAGAGGGAGAGAAAACAACCCTGGGTGGGTTAGGACTAGGAGAGAGGGAGAGAAAACAACCCTGGGTGGGTTAGGACTAGGAGAGAGAGAGAGAGAGAAAACAACCCTGGGTGGGTTAGGACTAGGAGAGAGAGAGAGAGAGAAAACAACCCTGGGTGGGTTAGGACTAGGAGAGAGGGAGAGAAAACAACCCTGGGTGGGTTAGGACTAGGAGAGAGAGAGGGAGAAAACAACCCTGGGTGGGTTAGGACTAGGAGAGAGAGAGAGAAAACAACCCTGGGTGGGTTAGGACTAGGAGAGAGGGAGAGAAAACAACCCTGGGTGGGTTAGGACTAGGAGAGAGAGAGAGAAAACAACCCTGGGTGGGTTAGGACTAGGAGAGAGAGAGAGAAAACAACCCTGGGTGGGTTAGGACTAGGAGAGAGAGAGAGAAAACAACCCTGGGTGGGTTAGGACTAGGAGAGAGAGAGAGACTCCCACTTCATATCTTCCTGCTCCATATCTGAGCCCTTAATAATCTGCTAATAGGTTGACTTGGGTCTAATTGCTCTGAGTTTCCATGGGACATAATGACAGGATATTCTGATGGAGATAAAGCCTGTGTGGAGGGACATAGTTAGAGGGTAGACTACAGGAGGGTAGACTACAGGAGGGTAGACTACAGGAGGATTGAATGCAGGAGGATTGAATGCAGGAGGGTTGAATGCAGGAGTGCAGAATACAGGAGTGCAGAATACAGGAGGGTAGAATATAGTAGGGGTAGAATACAGGAGAACATAATACAGGAGGGTGGAATACAGGAAGGTTGAATAGAGGAGGGTAAAATACAGGAAGGTAGAATACAGGAGGGTGGAATAGAGGAGAGTAAAATACAGGAGGGTAAAATACAGGAGGGTGAAATAGAGGAGGGTAAAATACAGGAAGGTAGAATACAGGAGGGTGAAATAGAGGAGAGTAAAATACAGGAGGGTAGAATACAGGAGGGTGAAATAGAGGAGAGTAAAAACAGGAGGGTAGAATACAGGAGGGTGGAGTACAGGAAGGTTGAATACAGGAGGATAGAATGCAGGTGTCACGCCCTGGCTCTGGGGACTCTTCTATGTTGAGCCAGGGTGTGTAGGGTCTATGTTTTGTGTTCTATGTTCAGTTTCTAGTTCATGTGTTTTCTATGTTGGCCGGGGTGGTTCCCAATCAGAGGCAACGTGAATCAGCTGTTGCTTGTTGTCTCTGATTGGGAACCATACTTAGGCAGCCTGTTTTGCACTTGTCATTTGTGGGATCTTGTTCCGGAGAGGTTTGTGTTTTGTCAACCTTAGGACTTCACGTATCGTTTTGTTGTTTTGTTATTGTTGAAAAGTACTCATTAAAAGATGTACGCATATCACGCTGCGCCTTGGTCCGCTTCTTACGACGTTCGTGACAGCAGGAGGGTAGAATACAGGAGGGTGAAGTACAGGAGGGTGAAGTACAGGAGGGTGAAGTACAGGAGGGTGAAATACAGGAGGGTGAAGTACAGGAGGGAGGAATACAGGAAGGTAGAATACAGGAGTGTGGGGTCTGTTTGTGTTTGTGAACAGAGCCCCAGGACCGGGTTGCTTAGGGGACTCTTCTCCAGGTTCATCTCTCTGTAGGTGATGGCTTTGTTATGGAAGGTTTGGGAATTGCTTCCTTTTAGGTGGTTGTAGAATTTAAAGGCGGATATTTTTGCAGAAATCTGCATGCAGAGTCTCAATTTGGTGTTTGTCCCATTTTGTGAATTCTTGGTTGGTGAGCGGACCCCAGACCTCACAACCATAAAGGTTAAATAACTGATATAACTGAAGTATTTTTTAGCCAGATCCTAATTGGTATGTCAAATATTATGTTCCTTTTGATGGCGTAGAAGGCCCTTCTTGCCTTGTCTCTCAGATCGTTCACAGCTTTGTGGAAGTTACCGTTGGTGTTGATGTTTAGGCCGAGGTATGTATCGCTTTTTGTGTGCTCTAGGGCAACGGTATCTAGATGGAATTTGTATTTGTGGTCCTGGCAACTGGACCTTTTTTGGAACACCATTATTTTTGTCTTACTGAGATTTACTGTCAGGGCCCAGGTCTGACAGAATCTGTGCAGAAGATCTAGGTGCTGCTGTAGGCCCTTCTTGGTTGGGGACAGAAGCACCAGATCATCAGCAAACAGTAGACATTTGACTTCAGATTCTAGTAGGGTCTCTCTTGCTCTCTCTCTAAGTAGGTCTTCTCATGCTTTGTAGTCATTTATTCCAAATCACAATTCCAAATAAATCCTATTGACATTTTTCAGCTTTTGGAACTAGTTTGTGGTGCTAGATTGTGGTGCTAGATTGTGGTGCTAGATTCTGGTGCTATAATCTGGTGATAGTTTGTGGTGATAGTTTGTGGTGCTAGATTGTGGTGCTATATTCTGGTGCTATAATCTGGTGATAGTTTGTGGTGATAGATTGTGGTGCTAGATTATAACTGGACCCTCTGTGGTATTGGCCATATGCGTTGTGTTGGTTTTCACACCTTTGACAGAGAGGAGGGAAATGAATGAGGCAGGGATGAATCATGACGGACGGTCATCACTGACGTAGTGACAACAGAATGACTCATAGGAGACCAGAAAAGAAGCCTTAAAATCTAACCAGCCAGTAGCAGATGGGAAGATGATCCACCATCCTGACCTCTGTGCTCCCGTTGTGTTTCACTTCACTTGTAGATGAACAGAATGTGATCTCACAAGATCAGGATGGTGGAACAAGGCTAGCCACAAGACCATAGAGAATATCTGTGTGCTGTAGAGTTTGTTAAAATGATACAGAGATATTATGCTGAGTTGATGTTGTATTGTGGTTGGGATGTCGAAGTAAGATGATGTTGTATTGTGGTTGGGATGTCGAAGTAAGATGATGTATTGTGGTCAGAATGTTGATGTAAGATGATGTTGTATTGTGGTCAGAATGTTGAAGTAAGATGATGTTGTATTGTGGTCAGAATGTTGAAGTAAGATGATGTTGTATTGTGATTGGGATGTTGAAATAAGATGATGTTGTATTGTGGTCAGAATGTTGAAGTAAGATGATGTTGTATTATGGTCAGAATGTTGAAGTAAGATGATGTTGTATTATGGTCAGAATGTTGAAGTAAGATGATGTTGTATTATGGTCAGAATGTTGAAGTAAGATGATGTTGTATTATGGTCAGAATGTTGAAGTAAGATGATGTTGTATTGTGGTTGGGATGTTGAAGTAAGATGATGTTGTATTGTGGTTTCCTTTATTTTGGCAGATACCTGTAGCTCTATGATGTGGTTTATTTAGAGGATGTGAGAAAGATGGTTCACCTCTGAATACACTGAATGGCATTGTCTTGACAGCTTATGAGCAACTTAGCTCTAATGTCTTCAGTGAAGACAGTGATCTGGTTCTGACCATTGTGTCTGTGTCTGTGTGTGTGTGTGTGTGTCTGTGTGTGTGTGTGTGTGTGTGTGTGTGTGTGTGTGCAGGTCGTGCTGAGGCTGAGCTGAAGAACTTCACTCCCCACTACAGACAGCAGTACTTTGTAGCCTTCTGCTCTAAGCTGCAGGAGGAGGTGGAGCAACAGAAAGAAACCCGCACTCAGCTCCTTAAACAGAGGGTAGGATGCACACACACTCATCTCCTTAAACAGAGGGTAGGACAGACACTCAGCTCCTTAAACAGAGGGTAGGATGCACACACACTCATCTCCTTAAACAGAGGGTAGGACACACACTCAGCTCCTTAAACAGAGGGTAGGATGCACACACACTCATCTCCTTAAACAGAGGGTAGGATGCACACACACTCATCTCCTTAAACAGAGGGTAGGACACACTCAGCTCCTTAAACAGAGGGTAGGATGCACACACACTCATCTCCTTAAACAGAGGGTAGGACACACTCATCTCCTTAAACAGAGGGTAGGATGCACACACACTCATCTCCTTAAACAGAGGGTAGGACAGACACTAATCTCCTTAAACAGAGGGTAGGACAGACACTCAGCTCCTTAAACAGAGGGTAGGATGCACACACACTCATCTCCTTAAACAGAGGGTAGGACAGACACTCATCTCCTTAAACAGAGGGTAGGATGCACACACACTCATCTCCTTAAACAGAGGGTAGGACAGACACTCATCTCCTTAAACAGAGGGTAGGATGCACACACACTCCTCTCCTTAAACAGAGGGTAGGACAGACACTCATCTCCTTAAACAGAGGGTAGGACACACTCATCTCCTTAAACAGAGGGTAGGATGCACACACACTCATCTCCTTAAACAGAGGGTAGGACAGACACTAATCTCCTTAAACAGAGGGTAGGACAGACACTCAGCTCCTTAAACAGAGGGTAGGATGCACACACACTCATCTCCTTAAACAGAGGGTAGGACAGACACTCATCTCCTTAAACAGAGGGTAGGATGCACACACACTCATCTCCTTAAACAGAGGGTAGGACAGACACTCATCTCCTTAAACAGAGGGTAGGATAGACACTCATCTCCTTAAACAGAGGGTAGGACAGACACTCATCTCCTTAAACAGAGGGTAGGACACAATCATCTCCTTAAACAGAGGGTAGGACAGACACTAATCTCCTTAAACAGAGGGTAGGACACACTCAGCTCCTTAAACAGAGGGTAGGATGCACACACACTCATCTCCTTAAACAGAGGGTAGGACAGACACTCATCTCCTTAAACAGACGGTAGGACAGACACTAATCTCCTTAAACAGAGGGTAGGACATACACTAATCTCCTTAAACAGAGGGTAGGACACACACTCAACTCCTTAAACAGAGGGTAGGATGCACACACACTCATCTCCTTAAACAGAGGGTAGGATGCACACACACTCATCTCCTTAAACAGAGGGTAGGACAGACACTCATCTCCTTAAACAGAGGGTAGGACAGACACTCATCTCCTTAAACAGAGGGTAGGACAGACACTCATCTCCTTAAACAGAGGGTAGGACAGACACTCAGCTCCTTAAACAGAGGGTAGGATGCACACACACTCAGCTCCTTAAACAGAGGGTAGGACAGACACTCATCTCCTTAAACAGAGGGTAGGACAGACACTCATCTCCTTAAACAGAGGGTAGGACACACTCATCTCCTTAAACAGAGGGTAGGATGCACACTCACTCATCTCCTTAAACAGAGGGTAGGACAGACACTAATATCCTTAAACAGAGGGTAGGACACACTCATCTCCTTAAACAGAGGGTAGGATGCACACACACTCATCTCCTTAAACAGAGGGTAGGACAGACACTAATCTCCTTAAACAGAGGGTAGGACAGACACTCAGCTCCTTAAACAGAGGGTAGGATGCACACACACTCATCTCCTTAAACAGAGGGTAGGACAGACACTCATCTCCTTAAACAGAGGGTAGGACAGACACTCAGCTCCTTAAACAGAGGGTAGGATGCACACACACTCATCTCCTTAAACAGAGGGTAGGACAGACACTCATCTCCTTAAACAGAGGGTAGGATGCACACACACTCATCTCCTTAAACAGAGGGTAGGACAGACACTCATCTCCTTAAACAGAGGGTAGGATGCACACACACTCATCTCCTTAAACAGAGGGTAGGACAGACACTCATCTCCTTAAACAGAGGGTAGGACAGACACTCATCTCCTTAAACAGGGGGTAGGACACAATCATCTCCTTAAACAGAGGGTAGGATGCACACACACTCATCTCCTTAAACAGAGGGTAGGACAGACACTCATCTCCTTAAACAGACGGTAGGACAGACACTAATCTCCTTAAACAGAGGGTAGAACATACACTAATCTCCTTAAACAGAGGGTAGGACACACACTCATCTCCTTAAACAGAGGGTAGGATGCACACACACTCATCTCCTTAAACAGAGGGTAGGATGCACACACACTCATCTCCTTAAACAGAGGGTAGGACAGACACTAATCTCCTTAAACAGAGGGTAGGACAGACACTCATCTCCTTAAACAGAGGGTAGGACAGACACTCAGCTCCTTAAACAGAGGGTAGGATGCACACACACTCAGCTCCTTAAACAGAGGGTAGGACAGACACTCATCTCCTTAAACAGAGGGTAGGACAGACACTCATCTCCTTAAACAGAGGGTAGGACACACTCATCTCCTTAAACAGAGGGTAGGACAGACACTCACTCATCTCCTTAAACAGAGGGTAGGACAGACACTAATATCCTTAAACAGAGGGTAGGACACACTCATCTCCTTAAACAGAGGGTAGGATGCACACACACTCATCTCCTTAAACAGAGGGTAGGACAGACACTAATCTCCTTAAACAGAGGGTAGGACAGACACTCAGCTCCTTAAACAGAGGGTAGGATGCACACACACTCATCTCCTTAAACAGAGGGTAGGACAGACACTCAGCTCCTTAAACAGAGGGTAGGATGCACACACACTCATCTCCTTAAACAGAGGGTAGGACAGACACTCATCTCCTTAAACAGAGGGTAGGATGCACACACACTCATCTCCTTAAACAGAGGGTAGGACAGACACTCATCTCCTTAAACAGAGGGTAGGACAGACACTCATCTCTTTAAACAGACGGTAGGACAGACACTAATCTCCTTAAACAGAGGGTAGGACATACACTAATCTCCTTAAACAGAGGGTAGGACACACACTCATCTCCTTAAACAGAGGGTAGGACACACACTCATCTCCTTAAACAGAGGGTAGGATGCACACACACTCATCTCCTTAAACAGAGGGTAGGATGCACACACACTCATCTCCTTAAACAGAGGGTAGGACAGACACTCATCTCCTTAAACAGAGGGTAGGACACACTCATCTCCTTAAACAGAGGGTAGGACAGACACTCATCTCCTTAAACAGAGGGTAGGACAGACACTCAGCTCCTTAAACAGAGGGTAGGACACACTCATCTCCTTAAACAGAGGGTAGGACAGACACTCATCTCCTTAAACAGAGGTTAGGACAGACACTCATCTCTTTAAACAGAGGGTAGGATGCACACACACTCATCTCCTTAAACAGAGGGTAGGACAGACACTAATCTCCTTAAACAGAGGGTAGGACAGACACTCAGCTCCTTAAACAGAGGGTAGGATGCACACACACTCATCTCCTTAAACAGAGGGTAGGACAGACACTCATCTCCTTAAACAGAGGGTAGGACAGACACTCATCTCCTTAAACAGAGGGTAGGATGCACACACACTCATCTCCTTAAACAGAGGGTAGGACAGACACTCATCTCCTTAAACAGACGGTAGGACAGACACTAATCTCCTTAAACAGAGGGTAGGACATACACTAATCTCCTTAAACAGAGGGTAGGACACACACTCATCTCCTTAAACAGAGGGTAGGATGCACACACACTCATCTCCTTAAACAGAGGGTAGGATGCACACACACTCATCTCCTTAAACAGAGGGTAGGACAGACACTAATCTCCTTAAACAGAGGGTAGGACAGACACTCATCTCCTTAAACAGAGGGTAGGACAGACACTCAGCTCCTTAAACAGAGGGTAGGATGCACACACACTCAGCTCCTTAAACAGAGGGTAGGACAGACACTCATCTCCTTAAACAGAGGGTAGGACAGACACTCATCTCCTTAAACAGAGGGTAGGACACACTCATCTCCTTAAACAGAGGGTAGGACAGACACTCATCTCCTTAAACAGAGGGTAGGACAGACACTCAGCTCCTTAAACAGAGGGTAGGACACACTCATCTCCTTAAACAGAGGGTAGGACAGACACTCATCTCCTTAAACAGAGGTTAGGACAGACACTCATCTCCTTAAACAGAGGGTAGGACAGACACTCATCTCCTTAAACAGAGGGTAGGACAGACACTCATCTCCTTAAACAGAGGGTAGGACAGACACTCATCTCCTTAAACAGAGGGTAGGACACACTCATCTCCTTAAACAGAGGGTAGGACAGACACTCATCTCCTTAAACAGAGGGTAGGACAGACACTCAGCTCCTTAAACAGAGGGTAGGACACACTCATCTCCTTAAACAGAGGGTAGGACAGACACTCATCTCCTTAAACAGAGGTTAGGACAGACACTCATCTCCTTAAACAGAGGGTAGGACAGACACTCAGTTCCTTAAACAGAGGGTAGGACAGACACTCATCTCCTTAAACAGAGGGTAGGACAGACACTCATCTCCTTAAACAGAGGGTAGGACAGACACACTCATCTCCTTAAACAGAGGGTAGGACAGACACTCATCTCCTTAAACAGAGAGTAGGACAGACACTCATCTCCTTAAACAGAGGGTAGGACAGACACTCATCTCCTTAAACAGAGGGTAGGACAGACACTCATCTCCTTAAACAGAGGGTAGGACAGACACTCATCTCCTTAAACAGAGGGTAGGACAGACACTCATCTCCTTAAACAGAGGGTAGGACATACACTCATCTCCTTAAACAGAGGGTAGGACAGACACTCATCTCCTTAAACAGAGGGTAGGACAGACACTCATCTCCTTAAACAGAGGGTAGGACAGACACTCATCTCCTTAAACAGAGGGTAGGACAGACACTCATCTCCTTAAACAGAGGGTAGGACAGACACACTCCGCTACATTGAAATACTATGAGGCTTACAGCACCGAACCTTCCAATATCAAGGTTTTACTGGAAATGATTGTGATTGTCTTACCTAAGTTGTCCTGTGTTGTATGGCGATATGTGTAGGAGCCAGTGAGGACAATGGAACAACAGTAACACACACTCACCACTCCTCCTGCATCTCTCCTGTAGGAGCCCCCTAGGCCAGAGGAGGTGCTCTATCAGGACAGTGTTCTGCAGTATGACGACACCAGGAAGTGGAAGGAGAGGTTTGTGGTGATGAGAGCCAATCACAGCCTGGAGTGTCATGACAACCAGGAGGTAAACCAACACCATACCAACATACGACTGACCGTACATGACCGTACACGACATTACATGACTGAACATGACCATACATGAACATACATGACTTAACATGACCGTACACGACCATACATGACCATACATGACCATACATGACTTAACATGACCGTACATGACATTACATGACATAACATGACCATACACAACATTAAATGACTTAACATGACCATACATGATATTACATGACTTAACATGATCATACATGACATTACATGACCTTACATGACATTACAATACATGACATGACTTAACATGTCCATACACAACATTACATGACTTAACATGAAAATAACATTACATGTCTTAACATGACCATGCATGACATTACATAAAATAACATGACCGTACACAACATTACATAACTTAACATGACCATACATGACATTACATGACTTAACATGACTGTACACAACATTACATAACATGACCATACATTACATTACATGACTTAACATGACCATACATGACATTACATGACTTAACATGATCATACATGACATTACATGACCTTACATGACATTACAATACATGACATGACTTAACATGTCCATACACAACATTACATGACTTAACATGAAAATAACATTACATGTCTTAACATGACCATGCATGACATTACATGAAATAACATGACCGTACACAACATTACATAACTTAACATGACCATACATGACATTACATGACTTAACATGACCGTACACAACATTACATAACTTAACATGACCATACATTACATTACATGACTTAACATGACCATACATGACATTACATGACCTTACATGACATTACATGACTTAACATGACCATATATTACATGACTTAACATGTCCGTACACAACATTACATGACCATACATGACATTACATGACTTAACATGTCCATACACACAATTACATGACTTAATATGACCATACATGACATTACATGACTTAACACGACCACAACATTACATGACTTAACATGACCATGCATGACATTACATGACCTTACATGACATTACAGGACTTAACTTGTCCGTACACAACATTACATAACTTAACATGACCGTACACAACATTACATGACTTAACATGACAATACATGACATTACATGACTTAACATGACCATACACAACATTACATGACTTAACATGACCATACATGACATTACATGACTTAACATGACCACAACATTACATGACTTAACATGACCGTACACGACATTACATGACTTAACATGACCATGCATGACATTACATGACTTAACATGACCATACATGACATTACATGACTTAACATGATCATACATGACATTACATGACTTTACATGACATTACATGACTTAACATGACCATACATTACATGACTTAACATGACCGTACACAACATTACACAACTTAACATGACAATACATGACATTACATGACTTAACATGACCGTACATGACATTACATGACTTAACATGACCATACACAACATTACATGACTTAACATGACCATACACGACATTACATGACTTAAAATGACTATACATGACATGACATTACATGACATTACATGACTTAACATGGCCGTAAATTACATTACATGACTTAACATGACGTACATGACTTAACATGGCCGTACACGACATTACATGACTTAACATGACCATACATGACATTACATGACTTAACATGACCATACATGACTTAACATGGCCGTACACGACATTACATTACTTAACATGGCCGTACACGACATTACATGACTTAACATGACCATACACTACATTACATGACTTAACATGACCAAACACGACATTACATGACTTAACATGATCATACATGACATTACATGACCTTACATGACTTAACATGACCGTACACAACACTACACGACTTAACATGACAATACATGACATTACATGACTTAACATGACCATACACAAAATGTCATGACTTAATATGACCATACATTACTTTATATGACCACAAAATTACATGACTTAACATGACCGTACACAACAGTACATGACTTAACATGACCATACACGACATTACATGACTTAACATGACCATACACGACATTACATGACTTAACATGATCATACATGACATGACATGACTTAACATGATCATACATGACATTACATGACCTTACATGACATTACATGACTTAACATGTCCGTACACAACATTACATGACTTAACATGACCGTACACAATATTTCATGACTTAACATGACCGTACATGACATTACATTACTTAACATGTCCACAACATTACATGACCATACATAATATTACATGACTTAACATGACCATACATGACATTACATGACTTAACATGACCATACATGACATTACATGACTTAACATGACCGTACACGGCATTACATGACTTAACATGACCGTGCACGACATTACATGACTTAACATGATCATACATGACATTACATGACCTTACATGACTTAACATGACCGTACACAACACTACACGACTTAACATGACAATACATGACATTACATGACTTAACATGACCATACACAAAATGTCATGACTTAATATGACCATACATTACTTTATATGACCACAAAATTACATGACTTAACATGACCGTACACAACAGTACATGACTTAACATGACCATACACGACATTACATGACTTAACATGACCATACACGACATTACATGACTTAACATGATCATACATGACATGACATGACTTAACATGATCATACATGACATTACATGACCTTACATGACATTACATGACTTAACATGTCCGTACACAACATTACATGACTTAACATGACCGTACACAATATTTCATGACTTAACATGACCGTACATGACATTACATTACTTAACATGTCCACAACATTACATGACCATACATAATATTACATGACTTAACATGACCATACATGACATTACATGACTTAACATGACCATACATGACATTACATGACTTAACATGACCGTACACGGCATTACATGACTTAACATGACCGTGCACGACATTACATGACTTAACATGACCATACATGACATTGCATCACTTAACATGACCATACACGACATTACATGACTTAACATGACCGTACATGACATTACATGACTTAACATGTCCACAACATTACATGACCATACATAATATTACATGACTTAACATGACCATACACGACATTACATGACTTAACATGACCGTACATGACATTACATGACTTAACATGTCCACAACATTACATGACCATACATAATATTACATGACTTAACATGACCATACATGACATTACATGACTTAACATGACTATACATGACATTACATGACTTAACATGACCGTACACGGCATTACATGACTTAACATGACCATACATGACATTACATGACTTAACATGACCATACATGACATCACATGACTTAACATGACCGTACATGACATTACATGACTTAACATGTCCACAACATTACATGACCATACATAATATTACATGACTTAACATGACCATACATGACATTACATGACTTAACATGACCATACATGACATTACATGACATTACATGACCATACATGACATTACATGACTTAACATGACTACACATGACATTACATGACTTAACATGACCATACATGACATTACATGACTTAACATGACCATACATGACATTACATGACTTAACATGACCGTACACGACATTACATGACTTAACATGACCACAACATTACATTACTTAACATGACCGTACACGACATTACATGACTTAACATGACCATACACGACATTACATGACTTAACATGACCACAACATTACATTACTTAACATGACCGTACACGTTCATATAGGACCATATGTAATGGAGAATAAACCCCAGGCTGGGTGATGGACTACCTCACCTGACACTTGAAGAATTGTGTTAGCTTTCTTAGGTAATGCCTTGGCTTTAGCTCAGCGGGCTAACACATAGTCAGTCACACTACTCTGAACTCTGTTTGGTAAATTGGTTGTTGTATTTGTTCCTCCATAGAGCTTCAGTAAGGGTGTTCCGGCTAGACAGAGACTCCTACCATCAGGGGGCGTAGTTCTGACATCAGAGGAGAAGTACACAGCGCTTGTGGACAAGGCCTTCCCTGACCCTTACGGTGAGTGTCTGGTCAACCCCTAAAGAGATGCATTAGATGTCTGGTCAACCCCTAAAGAGATGCATTAGATGTCTGGTCAACGCCTAAAGAGATACATCAGATGTCTGGTCAACCCCTAAAGAGATGCATCAGATGTCTGGTCAACCCCTAAAGAGATGCATTTGATGTTTGGTCAACCCCTAAAGAGATGCATTAGATGTTTGGTCAACCCCTAAAGAGATGCATCACATCCTTGAAACACAGATGCACACAACTGTTGAAATAGCAACATGGAGACTGGGAGACAGGGGAAAATACAGCATTTCAATCAATCAATGAGTTAATTGTATGTGTGTGCATGTCTGTGTGTTGTACTGTAGGTTTGAAGGAGGAGACATCTCCCCCCGTGGTAGTGGTACCTCCTGGTCAGTTCCCCGTCTACCTCAGGCTGCCCTACAGACGAGACGCGTACTTCAGCTTCCCCCAGGAGGACCGACGAGCAACCTTCCGCTCCATCCTCACAGGCTGCATCAGGCACCAGAACCACAGTATGCTACACCTGGGGGTTCTGACCCTGACCCCTGACCCCTGACCTTAACCCTAAGCCAAACCCTTGAGACAGTGTCTAATGCTGGCAAAAACTAAATATCCTTTGCCCACTGCTTTATTCAGAAAGTAATTTAATTGTGTCGGTAGTAAACATTTTATTATCAGTTAAGTGAGAATTACATAATGAAGGGCCTTTTTTATTACAGATTTTTAACAAGAATGTCCATACTAAACCTCCGTCTCTTGGATCATTGTGAGCAGTTCATGATAAACATGTTAGCCAGCTGTGTTGTACTGTTGTTATTCTTTGGTTGTCTTGGTAACAACCTAATAATACTCCTCAGCGCACAGCTTCCTGTGAGGGAGAAACCTATAGCCAGCCTGTCAGTTAGCGGTTAGGGGAGCGTTAGCAACTTCTGCAGAACACCAGCCAAAGCAGGCTACATCAACAGCACAGCACCATTTTTAGCCATTGCCTCAATACCAACTAGTCAATAGCAACTTTATAAAATAGAGATTCACAGGATGCAATGATTTATGTAGTTCAGAAATAGAACAGATATATATATATATATATATATATATATATATATATATATATATCACATTCCTAGCTCACTATCTCTCTCAGACACCATTTTCTTTGAAGATTCTTCTCTAGCTTCACATTTAAGTTTCACAGTGACAAAAAGGGAAGTGTTTAAAATATCTTACATTTGTCTCAGATACATTACTCAATTATTACAGTGTTTGAGACGAACCAGTTATCCTGTAGAGAAATAAAGATTATCACACTGCTCACGCCTCAGACGAGATAAAGAAAGCGATAGCGACGAGAAGAGAGAGAGAGGAGGCGAAGACCCGAGTATGAGCGACCATAACGCGAGAGAGCGAGCGAGGAATAGAGCGAGCCCTCTCTCTCTCTCTATCCTCCTCTCGCTCTCTCTCTATAGTATATCATCTACTCTCATGATATCTCTCTCTCTCTCTCTCTCATCTCTCTCTCTCTCTCTCCTCCCTCTCTCTCCAGATTCTCTGAGGCGGTCGTCCTGTGAGTCTCAGGCGTTTCTGAAGGCCATACATTTCTATCGGCAGGAGAAAGGACACTATGAGTCCTGGGACATGCTGGTGGGCTGTGAGGAGCAGGTGATACCCCGACCCAGACCCCGACCCAGACCCCGACCCCGACCCAGACCCCGACCCAGACCCAGACCCCGACCCCGACCCAGACCCCGACCCCGACCCCGACCCAGACCCAGACCCCGACCCCTGACCCCGACCCCGACCCCGACCCCGACCCCGACCCAGACCCCGACCCAGACCCCGACCCCAGACCCAGACCCCGACCCAGACCCAGACCCAGACCCCGACCCAGACCCAGACCCCGACCCCGACCCAGACCCCGACCCAGACCCAGACCCGCACACACACACAGTTCAACATACAACAAAGATGCTGACTGACTATGTTTGAAACACACTCATGTGCACTTAAAACCCAAACGCACACACCCATTTGTTTCCAGGGTCAACACCCCACTTAACAGGAGCAGTACACACTCACACAAACTCTCACCTCATTGACAGGTGATACCATTGACAGGTGATACCATTGACAGGTGATACCATTGACAGGTGATACCATTGACAGGTGATACCATTGACAGGTGATACCATTGACTTCCCTGCTGAAAAAAAACAGTAGACCAGCATAGGATGGTGACCAGCCTTCATCGTGTTTTTGCCAGTGGTGGAAAAAGTACTAAATTTTTATACTTGAGTAAAAGTAAAGATACCTTAATAGAAAATGACTCAAGTAAAAGTGAAAGTCACCCAGTAAAATACTACTTGAGTTAAAGTAAAAAAGTATTTGGTTTTAAATATACTTAAGTATCAAAAGTAAATGTAATTGTTCAAATATACTTAAGTATCAAAAGTAAAAGTATAAATCATTTCACATTCCTTATATTAAGCAAACCAGATGGCACAATTTTTATATTTTTTTATTTTACCCCCTTTTTCTCCCCAATTTCAATCTTGTCTCGTCGCTGCAACTCTCCAACGGGCTCGGGAGGCGAAGGTCAAGTCATGCATCCTCCAAAACGTGACCCGCCAAACCGCGCTTCTTAACACCCGCCTGCTTAACCCGGAAGCCAGCCGCACCAATGTGTCGGAGGAAACACTGTTCAACTGACGACAGCCTGCAGGCACCCGGCCCGCCACTAGGAGTCGCTAGAGCGCAATGAGCCAAGTAAAGCCCCCCCGGCCAAACCCTCCCCTAACCCGGACAAACCCTCCCCTAACCCGGACTAACCCGGACAAACCCTCCCCTAACCCGGACAAACCCTCCCCTAACCCGGACTAACCCGGACAAACCCTCCCCTAACCCGGACAAACCCTCCCCTAACCCGGACTAACCCGGACAAACCCTCCCCTAACCCGGACAAACCCTCCCCTAACCCGGACAAACCCTCCCCTAACCCGGCCAAACCCTCCCCTAACCCGGACGACGCTGGGCCAATTGTGCGCCGCCCTATGGAACTCCCGATCACGGCCAGTTGTGATACAGCCTGGGATCGAACCCGGGTCTGTAGTGATGCCTCTAGCACTACAATGCAGTGCCTTAGACCGCTGAGCCCGTCGGGAGGCCCTGAGTGGCGTCTCCCCAGCTGGCTATTTACAGTTTAGTCATTTAGCAGACGCTCTTATCCAGAGCGACTTACATGAGCAATTAGGGTTAAGTGCCTTGCTTAAGGGCACATCGACAGATTTTTCACCTAGTCGGCTCGGGGATTAGAACCAGCGACCTTTCGGTTACTGGCACAACGCTCTTACCCACTAAGCTACCTGCCAGTGTGTCCAGCGGCACACTCTAACACTCAGACATAATTTACAAACGAAGCATTTGTGTTTAGTGAGTCCACCAGATCAGAGGCAGTAGGGATGTTCTCTTGATAAGTGTGTGAATTGGACCATGTTCCTGTCCTGCTAAGCATTCAAAATGTAATGAGTACTTTTGGGTGTCAGGGAAAATGTATGGAGTAAAAAGTACATTATTTTCTTTAGGAAGGCAGTGAAGTAAAAGTAAAAGTTGTCAAAAATATAATTAGTAAAGTAAAGTACAGATATCCCCCAAAACTACTTAAGTAGTACTTTCAAGTATTTTTACTTAAGTACTTTACACCACTGTTTTTGCTGGTGACCAGCTTTCGTTGTGTTCTTGCTGGTGACCAACCTTCGTGGTTTTTTTTAGCTGGTGACCAGCCTTCTCTGTGTTTTAGCTGGTGACCAGCCTTCTCTGTGTTTTAGCTGGTGACCAGCCTTCTCTGTGTTTTTGCTGGTGACCAGCCTTCTCTGTGTTTTTGCTGGTGACCAAACTTCTCTGTGTTTTTGCTGGTGACCAACCTTCTCTGTGTTTTTGCTGGTGACCAGCCTTCTCTGTGTTTTTGCTGGTGACCAACCTTCTCTGTGTTTTTGCTGGTGACCAACCTTCTCTGTGTTTTTGCTGGTGACCAGCCTTCATTGTGTTGTCGCTGGTGACCAGCCTCCGCTGTGTTTTGGACACTGGTGACAAACATATAAACTGATCACCAGCGTACGAGCAAATGCTGGTCACGCGCAAAACCATCATTAAGACACATTATGCTGGCTGGCAAAGTGATGTTGTATTCCTATTGGAATGACTGCCAGGGTTTACAAGATGATGAAACGAGGCTACCTAAACCATCTAAACTGGAACAACCATTTCAGTAACGGGTGGAATAACAATTAACAGATTGGATTAGTTTAGAAAAAATGTATGTTATTTATCTTTGTGTAGCATAAGATGAATACATTTATGAATTAATCAATCAATGGACGTGCAAAAACACAGATATTGAAACAAACAATTAAAAAAACCTAACTGCAATAGAGCATGATGGGAAATATGATCATGATGGGTGTGGTTTTGCAAAGCAGGTTGACCAGCCAGGGGTCCGGTGAGGTACTGCAGGTTAAAAAACTATCTTTCTCCATGGTTTTTACGAATATCTCTAGCAACAAGAAAATAAACACATTTTTAATTACATACCTACAGTAGAAAAGAGGAGAATATCTTCTTTCGGTCCCGCTTTAAATGACGTTCAGCTGATAAAGGAGCACTACTTAAATGTGTTACAAAGGATCCATAACCGTATATCATGCTTTATAAAGGGTTCATAAATGTGGCACAACTTTGTGACATAATCACCAATGTCAAATTTACATTTACATTTACGTCATTTAGCAGACGCTCTTATCCAGAGCGACTTACAAATTGGTGCATTCACTTTATAGCCAGTGGGATAACCACTTTACAATATGTTATTATGATTATGATGATTATAATTTTTTCTTTCTTTGGGGTGGGGTAAGGGGGGGTAGAAGGATTACTTTATCCTATCCCAGGTATTCCTTAAAGAGGCGGGGTTTCAAGTGTCTCCGGAAGGTGGTGAGTGACTCCGCTGTCCTGGCGTCGTGAGGGAGCTTGTTCCACCATTGGGGTGCCAGAGCAGCGAACAGTTTTGACTGGGCTGAGCGGGAACTGTGCTTCCGCAGAGGTAGGGGGGCCAGCAGGCCAGAGGTGGATGAACGCAATGCCCTCGTTTGGGTGTAGGGACTGATCAGAGACTGAAGGTACGGAGGTGCCGTTCCCCTCACAGCTCCGTAGGCAAGCACCATGGTCTTGTAGCAGATGCAAGCTTCAACTGGAAGCCAGTGGAGTGTGCGGAGGAGCGGGGTGACGTGAGAGAACTGAGAGAAGGTTGAACACCAGACGGGCTGCGGCATTCTGGATGAGTTGTAGGGGTTTAATGGCACAGGCAGGGAGCCCAGCCAACAGCAAGTTGCAGTAATCCAGACGGGAGATGACAAGTGCCTGGATTAGGACCTGTGCCGCTTCCTGTGTAAGGCAGGGTCGTATTCTCCCCGAATGTTGTAGAGCATGAACCTACAGGATCGGGTCACCGCCTTGATGTTAGCGGAGAACGACAGGGTGTTGTCCAGGGTCACGCCAAGGCTCTTC